AGCTGCTGCCGTCAGTGCTTGGCTACCACCACTGCACCGCCTGTCCCACAGAGTCCGGGCAGGACCCTGCAGACATCGCTTTCTCTGCCCTCTGAGTGCGCGTGGGAAAAGGCTGGAGAAGAATACGCTGTTTCTTTCAGTCCAAAAATGCTGCTCTGGAGCTCAGGCTGGAACAGGAGGTAAGGTGGTGCCAGCCTCAGCGCGGAGGAGGAGAAGGACAGCGTCTGCTGCCCAACAAAGGTTGAGATGAGCACCTTACCTTCCAGCATCAGTGGCCTTGTCCTCTTGGTGGTGGGGCAACGGCTCCTGGGGGGGTTTGCCTGAAGTTACCCTGGGAGGCTGCACAGGCTGCTCATGGCGGAAAATTGAGCACAACGTTTCGGGGTGTGGGGGTGAAAGAAAATGAGACCATGACCCAAGCACAGTGGAAGATCAACAACCTTCATAAACACAGACCGAGTGTTATTTAAGAGGATTTTTTTTCTTTTCATGTGCTTTACTTTGCATACATTTGATAAAACATATAAAAAAAGAATACTCTTCCCAAAACACTTTGTTACTAAAAAACACGCCCTTGAACCATTAAAAGGTGGGTGTGTGGGTGTCTGTGTGTGTGTGTAATATATGGCCAAAAAGAAGAGCATGCTGACTCTAAAATTAAAGATGAATTTTTACAGAAACCAAAAGAAGCTTAAAAGAGTAAAAGTGCTCTGCAGCGCATCTGTGGCTCTCCTGGAGTACAGAGGAGAAAGGAGGAGCGTGGCCAAACTGCTAATGCAGCACGAAACAGCTCTTGGGACAGGAGCAGGCGAGCAAGGTTGGCCTAAACAAACTTGAACTCGGTTGGCTTCATAAATCTTTCCCACAAAATGACGACACAAAGCAGCTCCATCGCCGTCATTAGCGGGAACCGCTCAGCTTCTCACTGCGCTCAAAGGAGCCTGCTGGACAAGAAAAAATGTTGCTTTCACAGCTGCTTAATTGGTGCCTTACCATCTTTAGTATTTTATTCATGAAATAGCGCTTTCCCACGTCTTTCTTAAGTTCCACCTCCTCCATTTCCACAAGCCTCGGATCCCTCAGCCTGTCATGCCAGTGTCAGCGCTGCTAAATGCCCAGTTGCCACTGCACTTCTTGAGTTCTGCCCTGTTCAAGCAACAGGTTTGAGTTATTTCCATGAGATGCAGGAGCTCTTGGAAAAGGTGTTTTTTTAAAAAAACATTTCCTCACATTAGGATTAATTCCGAATTGGTGTTAATAGTTGGAGGTCAGTTCAGAACTGTGTAATTTGTTGCACTGTATTTACTTTATCCAAAAAAGTATTCTGACAACTCTTTTCTCCTCTTTCTGATACAGATTTGGTATTTTAGCTCTACTGTTACTTGGCTACGATTTAACATTTGGAAAAAAAAAATCACTTTAGGACTGTGTGTGCAATTGTTCATTAATGGACAATCAACTGCTGCCTAAAAATCCTGCCAATTAAGCAATGTGCAATGCAATACAGAAACACATTTGCTTTACAAACTCTCATGTTCTCCAAAACCAATTTCCTGTTCCTAGGATAAACAATTTCAGCAGGGCTTACTTCAACCTCAAAATACAACCCTTGTAAATGCAGCTGGAGGTTTTCCAGTCATGTCTTTCCAGTCATGAACTTGCTTTAATGTGTGAATGGGTTTTCTTAGTTTCCTCTCTCCAGACCTTTTAAAAATACTCTATAAAAATGACTGTCGGTGTCACTGATGTATTCAGGGGGCTGCCATTACCCCTGCTGTCTCAATGCTGTGATAAGCCCAAGTTTGGTATGGCCTCTGCAGCTGGAGAGGGAAGGTGCCACTGCCTGGACCTGCCGGTTGCTTGTGCTTTGCCGTCTCCTAAGCCTGGACTGCACTGCAGGACATCAGGAGCTGCATCCTGACTCCTCTTTGGGCTAATACACACCAAACCACAGCTGGACTGCCACTGTGCTGAGGAAGTGCTTCCCCTCTTCCAGACTTTCTTCTGATCCGTTAAATCCTTGGGATGAAAAGGCCATCCTTTCTGATATCTGAACTACGTGCAAAAGCGAACTTCTGTTTTTGCTACAGCCTAACACCAACACGTCTGGTGCTGGCTCAGTCGTCTCTCAAGAACGGCCCACTTTGTAATTACAAAGTCTCTTAATTACGGTTTGAGCATCAAAAACCTCACTTTAGCCAGAGTCAGCACCAAGAAAGTGCTCCCTCATCCTTTGTCCAGATTGGCTCCTTCCACAGGCATCTTCCACCTGTGGAGGCTTCTCCACTTCTACTGGGAAGCTACAAGGTTTAGACTTCTTTTATAAATCACTTCAGCTCTATCATGGGAAAAGTCGTGCCTTGGAAAGTCAGGCTCTGTGACTCAGGCATGCTTGGTAGGAATATGTTCCACATTCTTTGTTAACAAATAAGAAGCATAGGAGACACGCTGAAAGCTTTTATTTTCAGGACTCACTTGACTTGGAGAGCTGGAATGTTTAGGACTTACCAAGGTCATTGGTGAATTAGAATGATCTTTCACGTTCCTTTGATTGGAGACTGAGCTGTGTGTAAGTGGTGCAGTGTAGTCAAACAGGGGCCAAACGGTCTTCACTGACCTAGCAGCCTGTGGCACGGATGCAACCTTCGAGGCTTCCCCATGCTCCCCTCTATATTCCTATCCCTACCTTCACTTATCTCTCCTCTTTTCATGGAAGGGGGTAATAGGTGGGAGCAGAGTGCAGCATGAAGCAGCGTGGTCCACCACAGATAGCTCACTTAAAACCTCTCTGCTTAATACACAGGAAGGAATGAAGTAAAATGATTTTGCTCATTGCTAACCCCAAACGAAAGCAGTTGATGTGACAGGCCATGGATGAGGAACAGTTTGTAGCATCATGGGAAGAGACTGAAGAAGTGAAGCCCTGAACTCAGAGCCTTGCCTTGCTCCTGCGCAAGCCCTCACACTCCAAATGACAAACCCATGGAGGAGCTGGTGTGTTCATACGCAAACTATTTTGTGGTGATGCGGTTTTCACCATTCGAGGGCAGGAACTGATATGGCCTAGAAATAGAGCTTAACAGTTACTACAGAGATAAGATTCACTTAGGAGATCGGCAAAATACTGTGTGAGTAAAGACATGCGAGGATCACAGACTGTGTTGAACTGAAAGACAGACAAACACAGCAACAGCAGGTGGAAGTCAACCAGGCAGAAGATGCAGATAGGGAGGGATAAGGACAGCAGGCAGAAAAGAGAGGATAATGAGGGCACTGAAAGGCAACGCTAAATTTAGCAGCAGAGCCTTTTCACACTGTGAAGAGATGATCAAAGTTCCTCTGTCCTCTGCAGATTCACTCTAAGTACAGCACAGAGGACTTGTCTTAAAATATATCTGAAAACATGCTTTAGGACACTGTGCCCAAGATCCTCCCACACAGACACACACTGCTAACTCCTGATCTAAATGAAGTCTGACATTTCCAAGGTGTGTTTTCAATGTAGAACAAACCTAGCTTAGAACAATGTCAGGATTTTTCTTCTTATAGCTTTTTTAAAAAATTATTTCTTTTAATTACAAATCCTGATGTTTTAACTTGTGTGATCACTGCAAAAAACATTTTCCGTTTTGCTTTCTTCCTCACTATGAAATCCACGCCCGAGCTGCCCGCACAGGCCGCTGCACCGCTGCTCACACCACTTCAGCACGAAGGGGATGCTGATTGCTGAGCCCCAGTTCCCTGACCTGCAGTGGTTCCCAGCCAACTCATTCTGCTAAGAGCCAACTGCTAAAGCAGCAGCCCATTTTTTTCACAACAAAATTACTGGTGGGGGGTGGGGGGAATCAGCCTGTGAAGCAATAATCTGTATTCAGTTGTATGTTACTATCACACCAGGAATTGAAGTTTTCATAAACACTGATTACTGAAAGACACAGTACTTTCTAAATATACTGTGAGGGAAACGATTAGAAAAATAAGCTGCTAATATTCTACATCGATAGAGAAAACACACACACACAAACCCAGAGACAGAGAGACAGACTACGCAGTACAAAAATTTTATTGACATGAGTTTGGGATGATGTTTTACACATAAAGAGGAAGTGCTAGGAAACATTAGGTATCCTCTCCTCCTCCAGGCTTTCCTTGAGAAAAAAGCTACTTTGGAGATGATGGGCATGACCCCAGTACCATCTGTGGCGCCCAGAACCATCTCCTGGTGGCCCATCAGGAGGCGCCTGGCTCTGATCTGCAGAAAGCTCTGCACTCTCTCTGCCTACCAGGTGAGGTATCTGGCCAACGAGCACTTCCCTGTTACCACAGCTCACACCCACACAACTGCAGCCACCACAAGGAGATGGGGGAACATTCCCTTCATACACTCTCCCTTGTGGGGACATGATCTACCTCTGGAGTGGGGGGAAAAGTGAAAAAGACTTGATTTGAACTGCAGCTCAAGTATAATTTCACAGCAATTAAATTTTAAATCCACACTAGAAATCGATAATTACATAGTAACTCATGTTATCGCTGCTACGTTATCTCTGGTAATACTGTAGTTATGCTTGTGCTCCAATTTCTTTTCAGTAAAATCTGCTGCTGTAAAACACTATTATTTCTCGGATACTTTTAAAACACTAATGAAGCATATAAAAGTTTTCACAGTATACAAGAAAAACTAAGTTAATAAATGATCACATTTTCTTCAATTCTATCAAAGAATAAGAGTCTGAGAAAAATAACTTTTATTGCATTTTAATTTCTCAATCTCTTTCCTTTTTGAAGAGATAAAAGTGATAACGGAAATTCATGACATTTAAGATGAAGAGAAGCTTGGGAGAAACAAAATCACAATTCAGCAGGCAGATGATGGGGAAATCAAAGTATTTAATATGGCTTGTATCTGAAAGAAATCGATCTGCATTTCCAATAATTTTAGTTATTGCCACATTCAATTAATTTGTCATTAAGTGAAGATAAAACCATGTCTTTAAAATGCATGAACAACAGCTTTAAGCCATTGCTGTACACATTGTGCAACTCATCTGAATGCAGTTTAACACGTGAACTTAATAGAATATATTTATGTACAGTATATACACAAACAGAGTCCTGTGGTAATACCCCTGAATATAATCATTTAAACAAGTCGTTTTCATCATAAAAGCAGAAAAAAAAAATCTATGAAGGTGGCAAAACTGCCCATTTCTGAAGTTTAAATCAATATAATTTCCAGCTGATTTACACAGAAATAAAACTGTGGTCCTGTACAAACTTTACATTACAGGGATACAGTTTATTTTTAAAAAAATATTTACATATTTGAGTACTTGGTTCTTTGCAATAGAGATTATATGAACACAGAAAATTGTATGGTAGGCAGGTTTATTTATTAGATTTTTCTATTGGTTCTTTTTTGTGCAAATTCCAAATCTCTCTTTTTGTGTTATTATCTGTCTCTATTTGCCTTGTATTACTGCTGCTGCTTTTTTTAGTGTTCGGAGAAGGCTGGGTGACTTTGCTTCTAGGAACAGGAAGAAAAGATTTCACTCTTGAAACACCCAACTCCGTCTTTGATTTGCTGTTGCTGCTTTCCACAGTTCGACTGCTGCTGAGAGGACGCGTTCCACCCTGTGAATAAAACCCCCACATTTTCTGTATAAATAATTATTGCTGTTTGACCCGAAAAAGAAGCAGCCAGCCCTACCAGTCCCATGGAACCCTCCTTATTTACGATCTTCTGCAGTTTAATACGACACCTTCTTACTCCTTGGTGAACAATGGATCTTTTTTGCTTCTCTGACTACAAGGAAATATCATCAGCATCTAAGAATACCAAAATAAGTCAATGGGCTTTTTGCATTGCCATTGAAAAAAACTTCCATTTGATTCTCAGAGGTCTCAATTTCAGAAGAACCCAAATAAAAAATACACATTAGATGACAGTGGACCTATTATGCCTTCCAGTAGTACTCATCTTATCTTCCCACTCTGAAACTGCTCTGAAGTGAGTAAAGTTTGCTTACATTTAGACTATCTTTTCCCAGAATCATTACACTTCTAACATAGGGTTTCTTTGGGTTTCCCATGAATAATATGGCAAGACAACTGTATATTACAACAAATAGCTAGGTAGAGAAAAGAAACAGAGTAATTTAAAAAGAAATGCTATTCCTCACAAACTCTGGTAGGATCATCTCTTCTCAAAATTTCTACCACTGAGAGCTTTGAAAATAACTTATGTCAAAGTAACGTCAACAATACTTGACCTAGGGAGCTGGCTTGATGTAAACATGAAAACGGAAGCAAATACATCCATTGTGTAATAAATCCTTAGTTCCCATTAAGACACATAGAAGAAACTTGGCATGGTACATCTAGCAAGTTTCCTAACAACCATGAAAGTTTATTCTTGTAATAAACAGGGCAATTCCAATCAGGAATTCAGTTTTTGGAGAAACTCAAGACACCTTCCCTCTCCTACTACAAAACTCATTTCTCCTACCTTTTGTGCTGTTGTTTTACTTGGCTTAGTACCACTTGCTGAAAATACAGGATTGTTCTGAGAGTTATTGAACATCAGTAGCTCATCCTTAGAATCTGCAATCTAAACAAAAAGATAAGAAAATGGTGATATTTTCTTTTTAGTTCACAACAAAGATTATGTTTCAATTTGCTAAATTTTGGAGACTTGATTTTATTTTCATGTAGTTTCTGTACAATGCAATGCATAAATATCCAGAGAACGATTAAAATATCTCTCCTTTACTCCTGCATGCATTTGTAGGAGATCGGAGACAGAGAGATTGCACATTGACTATTATCAAAGATCAGAGATACATTTCCAGAGCAATACTATTCAGCGGAGCTTAAGGGCAGTTTCCTGTGAATTTTATCTAGCCCCAGAACCTCACAGAAAGGAACAATCCTTTTCTCCTCTTCCTGCTATGTTTCTTCCCTACTTTTTTCCATCCAACCTGTGACCATACAATAGCAGGGTCCAACCAGCCTCCTGCCCTCACTGAAAACAGAGTTTTATCCTGGGCAAGCTGATCCCATTCAACTCTGTGACTGCCAAAGTATTCAGCCCCAACAGAACAGAGGCTGCAGGAATGTATTTGAGTGAATATTCGAGCAAATTAGAAAGCACAAGTACCTATTTCGTGGGCAGCCTGAAATTGCACCTCACAAAGAAAACACACGTCAGCACCTTTACTTCTGTAGGGCCCTGCGAGGCAGCGAGGGAACTGACAGCAGAAATTCCAGCCATGGATGGTTCCACCCACGGTGAGGAAACCGAACAAAAGACAGTGACATCTATCTCCTTCCTTATCTAACCCGTATTTCCTTCAATTGTCAGCAAGGAGCAAGTACATTCTACATGTTATTAAACACACTTTAAAGTCAGTTACCATGTCTTTAAGCACATCCCATTCTTTCAAGGACAGATATGGTAAATCACTGCTAAGTGATGGGTGATTACCTTGCCAGCTTGGTGCATGTGACTCATGCAAGGACTGTAAATACTTTCAAAAAAAACCCAACCCAAAACAAAACACCATAATAAAGGACTTCATTAAATGGGTTGAAAAGTCTTCCCAAACACAGTATTTATATTTTTAATAAAAACTTTGTTGACTGCTAAGAATAAACAGACCACTTAATAAAGCACAACTAAGGGAACTGCTGTTCAGGGAGATCCCAGGGGACGTAATGCACGGCCTAACTGGACAGCAGCCTAGAGCTGGCTCTACCCGTGCTCCAAACGATCTGGCACAGCTGCTCCGGTGTGAATGCAGGCTGCTGTCACAGCCATCTGCTTCAGCTGTGCTAGGAGGAAAGGAGGAAAAGAATAAGTAACTCCAGGGAGAGCCAGATGCTTCTGGTGCAGGAGGAAAAATGAAAGGGATCCACGGCTCCACCCTCTGCTCCAACCACCCACAACCCACTCCAGCACAGAACTGAGCCCCAAACCTATGAGCTGTGCCAGCATCCTTCACCCTCTTTTGCTGCTGCTGAAGAAGAACTGGGCCAATCCATTCTTTCTTGCCTGGGGCAGCAAAACTGCATTTTGCCTACACAGCAGAGGACCCTCAAGCCAGCTCTGTGACAGCTAATGGGATTACATTAAACAAACCAAATGTGCAATGCAGATTAGGAAAAACTTTCTAGGTCTTTAAGACTACAAAACAATTTCCCAGTGGAAGCAATGTTAGCATGAAAGACAACATGGGGAACAATAATGCAGAGAAGGCTACTGATGCTAGCATTTATGAACTTATAAATTTCAGCCTCCACTGCAAAAATCTCTACAACAAAAACCAGTGAAGGTGTAATTTAAAATAATGTATATTAAACCAGAACACTTACCCTCAAATGTATAATTTATTAGTTGACTTGGCTTATTCCCAAATAATTTAATAATTTTCTTCAGTTCAAGCAGTGCTTGCAAATTAAAAATTTATTTTAAACACACAGCAAACAACTGCATATGGTAATGAGGTAAATTATTTAAAAACCTTGTGTTTACCTTGCTTATATCGGGCTCAGATTTGCTGGAACACATACTTTGAAGTTCCTGCACAAGATCTACTTCATCATCAGAACCAAGGGACAGCCTTTGCTCCAGATTTAACATTCTCAACTGATCCTTCTCTGAAGATCTGGTTTTAAAAAAACAAAACAAAACAAAGGACAATTAAAATTAAGCTGTGATACAGATTTTAAAAATAAATATTACACACACCTGAAAAATAGTAATTTTTTTTCCAAATTACCTTTCTGGGGGTTGGACTGGATGATCTTTAAGGTCCCTTCCAACCCAAACCATTCTATGATTCTACGATTTACCACCACAAACAGAATAAAAATAACATCTAATTAAGTGGCATCAGTAGCTGTCAACAGTAGTTATATCATAATAGATCTTCTTTCTATTCCAATTATTCTCTCTATTCCAAAATTCTATCAAAGGATTCTGCTTACGATCTTCAAAGATTCCCCTCTTGTTAAGATGGAGCAATCAATTTTATTCCACTCTCCTTTTTGGACTTAATTCCAAGCACTTAAAAAGCCCCTGGCATACTGGAAGTATGAATACTCTGCTTTATTTATCTATCTATTTATTAAATGCAATGCCAGGTGAATGCAGCCTACGGGTGGCTCCTCATGGCAGAGCGAGGGTTACATAATATTCTGAAGTCATGGCCTATTCTGTTACATAAAAAGACGTGCAGTGCTGCAAGCAAGGTTTGAACTGCAGAAATGGGTTCTACGATTATACTGAAGTACATCAATTTTATTTTCTCTCAGAAATGAAAAAGGATTCCTTTCTTCAGATGTAGAACCACAACATTCCCAAATACAAACTCTTTGCCTCTTCATTATAATGTGCTGGTTTCCAATACAATTTTATCATCTTTATTGTTTTTAAAGTGTCACAAATACCAGAAATTAAAACTTACTTTGTGGCAAGAGAAGCTCTTTTCTTACAGTTTGGTTGCAACATTGTCTTAGATTTTATACCTGCACAAAAGGGAAAATGAATTACTGGTGTGTTATCACAGGCGTTGATTTCTTTATTCTAAAATCTGTGATAAACAGGCAAAATGTGTTCCCATTTAGTGGCTAATTATATCAGTAGTCTGTCAAAGATCAGAGTACGTTCCTTGAAACCATTCAGAGTAGTGCTAGGAACTGCTAATGTAGCCAATGGGACAGGAGTTGCCCAAGATTTGTAGAAGACAGAACGTGAGGTTTCTGTGCCAGACACCTGCGCCACCCCTTCTGGTACCACCCCTACTGGTACCACCCCTCCTGGTTCCCTCTGAGAGAAACCACTTGTCAACAGGAAAAGATTCAAGTTTGCTTCATTCAAGTAAAATCAAACAACTTACCAAGTAGTACCAGGAATCAGGAACAGCATTTGATTCTTATAGTCAGAAATGGAAGGCTACTAAAATTAAATTCACCATTCATTTTTTACTCATATTCACAGATATTAACTGGACTTCAAGAACATTTTCAGGTACAAGATACAGTATACACCATCCTACTTCAGGTTATGTTCATTTGATTTCTTAAATCCTCTTAACGGGATTAGATACAGTTCACAATTCAAACAGAAAACAAGCAAGGAAAATCAGCCCATTAGAGTTGCAGTTCAGAAAAATAAAGACTTCTTTCTGAAGAAAAGAAGAAAGGAATAGCTCAATTTAACACTACAAAGCACCAGGCATCACGTACTGCACTCTAATATA